CAGGATCAAAATCCTTTGAACAAATTCGACAGTAAAATTCACTAAAAAAGTTTACTTACAATTAGTTCATACACTGTTAAATCCTTACGGACTCTGGTCACCAAACTTGTAAATCATTGAGGAACTCCTTTGTCGCACTTCCTAGCAACTCTAAACTACTTTTCCCTCCACATGAATCATCAAGAACAAACTTGTTCCAGTGCTGGAACTCTAAGAGCTTCTTCTCCCAAATTCAAAACTCTGAAGGCTTATAGATGAAGATAGAGTTTTGATGTTCAATCTTTAGATCTTTTGTGTTTTGATCTTTGGTCAATGCAAGAAAATATTGAAATATGCAATTGATCTTCAAAGATAATCTCTTAACTAAGTATAAGGCTCAACCAACAATATAATATGTTTGGAATGAATTATGAATATTTGATCAAATGGTTGAATCTAGAGATCTTTGGAATGTATTTTGGATTTTAAAAAATGTGATCTTTAATATGAAATAATGATTCAACACATCTTGTGACGAAGTATGGATGTATATTTATAATGGGTATTGTTTAGGGGGTGAAATAGAACTGAAAAACAGCATTAAAACCGAATCAAGATTCTGGGTTGGCTCGAATGATCGCTCGAGCGCTGGTCTTGTGAGCGTCGAGCTGTGACTCCACCAGTCGAGCACTGGGGTCGCGCCAAGTGAGCGCCAGTTTTCCTTATGTGGATGCTTAAGCGCCAACTCAACGTGCCTTTGACTTTTTTTAGAACTTTACCAACCCAAACTATTTTAACTTAAATTACAACTCAAGTAATTATGATTTTAGATACGAATCAATCCAATTACAATTAGGACTTAACATATACCTTGTTTGAACACTCGTAAATGATTAAAAATGATAAACTACACTGTGCTTTGCTGATAATAATTAAATGCAGACTCATCAAGTGGATTTTGTCATTCTCTGCTTGGGGAGGTATAGTGATGTACCAAATTTTCCAGACTTTCCAGAAAATAAGGGCCCCGAAGCCTTTTCAGGAAAGGTGATACATTCGATGGACTATTCTAACATGGACCAAGCAACTGCCCAAAAATTTATCCAAGGAAAGCAAGTTACCGTTGTTGGATTCCAGAAATCTGGAATGGACATTTCAATGGAAGTCTCAACAGCCAATGGTATAATAATTACATTGTGCAAATTGCACTCTTTGCTTTTCTGCTCAAAATTCTCTTCTTATATTTGTTTCATTGCAGGCATCGAACACCCATGTACTCTTTTATACAGGACTGAGCACTGGAATCTACCTGATTACGTCCCGTGGGGAGTTCCTATTGGCTTTCTATATCTGAATCGGTTCGCAGAGCTCTTGATTCATAAGCCTGATGAAGGGCTTCTTTTAAGCCTCCTGGCAACAATTCTCTCGCCTTTGGTAATGTTGGGAAACTTGAAACTTGAAACTAAACCTGTCTATTACTATTAGTATTCTTGTATTAGATTCATTCTATAACAAAACACACTTAGAATCAAGCACTGTTATCAATAATTAGAAGAATTCTAATAAGGTAAAATTTTGCGATTACTTTGACAGAGATGGGGAATTTCGAAATTTGTTGAAAGTCACATAAAAAGAAAGCTAAGGCTGGTAAGGCATGGTATGGTGCCAAAACACAATTTTTTGAAAGAACTAAATTCTTGTTCAATTGCGACCGTGCCAGAGGGCTTCGTTGACAGGGTTGAGGAAGGAAGCATCAAACTTAAGAAAGCGCAAAATTTCACCTTTTGCAGTGAAGGAATTTTGGTCAATGGTGAGGCCGAACCTTTCAAGACTGATCTGGTGATACTTGCTACGGGGTTTAGGGGTGTCGACAAGCTCAAAAACGCATTAGCATCCCCAACTTTTCAGGATTGCGTAACTGGGGAAACTAGACTTCCACTATACAGGTACCCCTGACACAAACATTTATGCATGCTTTCAATCTACGAGTATACTAATAAGATCTAAACATTATCAGGGAATGTATTCATCCTCGGATTCCACAATTGGCATTAATTGGTTTCTCTGTAAGTATTGTAGACCTGTTCACCTCGGAGATGAGGTGTCGATGGTTAGCTGAGCTTCTTTCTGGGACATTCAAGCTACCAAGCATAAAGGAAATGGAGAGAAATGTATCCCAATGGAATGACAGCATGAAGCAATCCTTGGGTGAATACTACGAGAGATCATGCATAGGTGCATTGCTATTATGGTATATTGATCAATTGTGCAAGGATATGGGATGGAATCCGAAACGGAAAAAGGGTCTCCTTCGAGAGTGGTTCGAGCCATATGGACCATTGGACTATGTTTAATTTCAAACGTGATTATGTCACATTAACACGCACTCCATATCTGTAACGGCACTTCTAATAATACTGGGGAAAGTACAAACTAGGAGCCTTATCATAGATCTATTTCTGTTCAGCCAATCTTTGCTGTGAAGTTCAAAGTGTAAGTATTATGCCCTAGGTCCAATCGACTTTGGACATAAATACTTTTATATATAATTAATGCAATTAAATGGCAGAT